GTTTTATTACTGGACATTTCATAGTGCTAAAATCATTTTCTTCATCCTGTAAAAGTAGAGGCTGTGTTATGGTGTAAAATCCTATGAAGACGTTGTCAAGGTTGTGTTACCGACTGTACTTCTTTGATATTCTCCATCTTTCTGTTTTCCTCTGCTGCCAGAGTTCTCTGCCCTACCCTTTTTAGGTTCGGTTCTCACTCTTGCATAGATGAGCTTGTTGAAACCTGTCTTCTTTCCAAACGTGTTCAGGCACAGGTGCACTTTGAGAAAAAAAAAGTGTATTTTAGTATCTATTTGAATTTATGGTCTGTTGTGAAGTAGGATTCAATAATGCCAAAATTATATTTCATACAGCAGATGCTTTATATGTCAATGTGTTGGCTTAAGTGTCATTGGCTGTAGTTACTGTAGAACTCTTACTGTTTTTCAATAAATTCCTGCAAATGTACAATATTGGTGCATGTCTCTTTACTGAATTTGTATTGAGATACATGGGGGCAGCGTAACAACACAGTATGATTCTGTAGTGCAGGACAAAATATAATGATGCACAAAGAAGCAGAACACTGAGGTCTACTGGATGTAATCAAATATTTTACTCACGCAAATCACAGAAATAGTGAAAAAGAACACAGAACAAATAATCTTGATATCCTTTCAGTGTGATAAAATAAATAGTGTTATAAAGTCTTAATCGGGAATGACTTCTCTAAGCATTAACACAGTTTTGACAATTTGAGCTCTGATCAGCATCTGGATTGTCAGACTACTATGGGATGATGTGTCACTCTGCCCTTGCAGCTGCAGCCAACTGATGAAAGACAGACAGTTGTGATTACGTCTTGGTCGTGGCAGTTAAGTAATAATTAAGTTATTAGGGCTACTAATGTTCCAATAATATTTTAAAACTATAGCTAGAGTTAGACCAGTTTGTAATAAGTATAATTTACCAGGGCCTGCTGGTGGTTCTTGTTAATACTATATGTTATATATTATTGTTACAGCTACAGGTGACTATGGAAGTGTTTTTAATAATCTAGATTGAATGAGTAACACCTGGCCTTTGTCAACATTTTTAGTTTCAAAGCAAAGGGTGTGGTGTTTGGCTGAGATGTAGGGGGTCCAGATTCAGTGATCAAAGCAAATTTACTTTGGTTTACCATAGCTAGTTAGGTTTTGGGTAAATGATTGTCAATCAACAGTCCAGAAAGACCCCATATGAGAGGATGGCGAAGCAGAAAGGAGGAAAACAACAGACAAGATGACAAGAAAAGATATTGGAGGTGAGAGCTCCTTGTTCCATCCAAATCATCCGGGAACACCAGACTGGAGCCACATATTTAAACGTTGTTGAGAGATCTTGCTATTCTGTGTTTTTAGGGAACTCCTGTGGGAAGAATCCCATGGTTACAAATGGCTTTCTCTGGTTATTGGGTGCATTTTTAGAATGGGGAGTTAGTGTCTCTTATTTTCGGCATCTGGGTTTACACTCTTCTCTCAGAGAAGAGAGATTTTTCACAGATTGTATCTTATTTAGTTTAGAAGGCAGCTTCTCCATTATTTTTGGCATTTGTAGGCATTATGTAAGAACTTGAACTTTATTGCCAACGGAATTCT